GGGCATTCACGCCATCTATTGATGGTTTTGGCTTCTATGTCCCTGTGATCCAAGTGGATGGTACATTCCTTACCGGCAAGTACAAGGGCACTCTCCTGATTGCCAGCGGGGCGGATGCAAACAAACAAGTCTTTCCTTTAGCCTTCGCCATTGTTGAGGGAGAGAATGTTGATAGCTATGGATGGTTTTTTCGGCAAATTCAGCTCCACGTCACTAGGAGAATGAACCTGACAATAATCTCTGATCGGCACGCCGGGATTAGAGCTGCCATCTTAGGTTTGGATCCAGCCTAGAAGTGGTCCCAAAGGGGGATCTTGGGCGGGGATCTTGGGAGTGGCTCGGGCGGGAATCTTGATGTGAGCTCGGACCGCCACCGTGTGTCACAACCAAGGGGGCGGCACTCTCCACGCCTCCAACGACGTTATCTCGGGCACATTGGGTCTTTCCCGAACCTTCTTGCTTTTCTTTCTCTCGTATGGTGGTGGGGGTGGGGGACATCATCTTGTGCCGGAGGTGGCACCGGTGCGGGCATGGGCGGGTATCTACGATGTTCACGACCCTGTTCTCTGATACAGCCAAGCAGACTGTTTGTCATCCTCCTGATGAAGCTCACTTCTTCACTGCCCATTTCATGTTTCCCATGGGTCAAATCTTTGATCCGCTCGATCCCATCAGCCTAAATCACATAAAAAAGGTTAGCAAGATAAGACTAATGATGTGTCTCCATGAAACAAGCAATAAATTTAATTGTTTAGACGGAATATACTTACCAATGCACCATCGGCCGCACCCTCCGGAGTCACGTACCGAACCGATGTTTGCCTATATCTATCCATGTATGGGTCATGATACCCCATTCGACCCACATTTGTTGGGGTGACAATCTCCTGAAGTTGTCGGTTCTCCCATATCGTGATCATTACTGCCAACTTCGTGGGCCAATCGTGAGTACCTTGCCGACCATCTCGGTGGTGAAACGCCCTTTGACTCTCGGGGACCTCCAACGGAATGCACTGCTCCCGACCAAACTGACGGAGGCATCGATCCGGCAGGTGCCACTCCACGGTCCCTAAACAAATGAGAGGGACCCTCGTGCACCATTGCCCGATATGACCGAGGAATTGCTGTAAATGCCAATGAACGATGTTCGCCGGGTATGGATCAAAGATGATCTACAAAAATAAATGAGTCACTTAAGCTAAACAAAATTAGAAAAATACATGTACTCCATGAAAAAAGTTATAGCAATCCGAAGTATTCTAGTTACCTCTCCTTCCCAAAGTCGCTCTGGCCTCCTCTGATACTCTACCAATTTGTGTTGGGAAAGGTTGTCGCATGTTGAGGCTCCAACCCACCTTATTAATAAGACAATAATGAAACTAGAATAAGCTAAAACATAAGGGAAATTGTGTTATAAAAATCATGATGGGGTATGAGAAGTTTACCTACAACAATAAGCTTCGAGTCTTAGGGGATGATCAGGACCCCAATTCCTGTCGGGACATTTGAGCGGTGCAATCCATGGCAGATGCTCCCAAGCCCAAAATTGGACATGAACATTGCGCCGCCGACCTCCCTCACAGCTTTGAGAGATGCATTGCACAAATGGTGGTAGATATTAGCTAGGCAAGCGGATTCTCAGCTCGACTCCCCCATCTCATCCCAACTACCAAGGAGGATCCTAAGCCATCCACAGCTAATTAAATTGCTCGATTTTTTGGAGAAGAACACTCCTCCTATCATGCCTATGATATAGACACGAGCATATCTTTCCTTCTCTAGCTCCGGACTTTTCTCGGTTAGGGGCACCCCATTTTTGGCAGGATCGTGATGGTCCCTAAAATACTTCGTCAACCAAGTGATTGATACTTGGTGTTTCCTGAATGGTGGCAAGCGATCCGTCGCATCAACGCTCCCCTTGATTGGTACTTTCACCCCCAAAACACTATGGATGAAATGCTGCCAACCGGGCATACCGTCACGATTCTCGGGGGGATGATCACTCACACACACCGCTTTGCCGTCGATGGGCAGATGGGTTAGGATGGCGACGTCCTTTAGCGTGATGGTGCACTCTCCTTCGCGAAAGTTGAAACAATGTGTCTCCTTTCTCCATCTCTCCACAAATGCGGTGATGAGTTGGCGATCGACTTTTATGCCTACAAAATGCCTAATCGACTCCAACCATGCCCTTTTGAGAAAGGGCAAGATAACTGGGTTCCATGGGAGCACATTGATCGTACCCCTGTAGCGGAGTATTTGTTGTGCCTCCTAGCGAAAATTTCCACGTTATTTATGATATATTAGTAACAGTTTTTTCTTATAACTAAATTAATTAAAATTAATGATTTAATTTCGAACATAATTTTATTATAATTATATTATTAACAATCAAATTTAAATAATTGATGGTTTTTTCCAAGATGTATACATATTATCATAAAACAAACATACTCAATTAATTGACCTAAATAACATTCTAAATGAGTAATAATTTAAAGATATACATACATATTCAAACATTTGAAATTAATAAAATTCATTTAAGTACACGTAAACATAAATCATATTGGTTGTTTGGTAAATAATTTAATCGTATTGGTTGTTTTAAATAATTTAATCGAATACAATGCAACACTCGTTAGACTCTTAGAAGAGATATACATCTTCTTAGAAACGTAACCTTTTTGACAGAAAAAGGGGGATCCGAGGATCTCTTAATACCCGATTTTCCCAGGAAATGGGAGGATCATGATAATCGCTTAAAACCCCCATTTCCTTAGACGTGCATCTCTTTATAAAGAGTCGAAGTAAGTTGCGCTATGTATTCGATATAATTATTGAAAACAACCAATACGATAAAATTATTTCAAATTTATTTTATATTCCACTAAGAAAAAATGGCAAAATAAAAGAAAGAGAAATGATGAAGAATTGTATGTACCTCATGAACGTTCCAAACATCCCTTGAACGATGGTTGGGTTGGTCGTAGAAGTCGGTTGGATCAATAGGTCCTTGATCCAAATAATACTGTTGGTTGTATATATCCACGTCGTCCCCAACCTAAGATAGAATAACAACAAGGTTAGTACATATAATAATTAAAAAGCTTATAAACACAACAAACATTGACCGGAATAATGAGTACGTACCGCTTGAAATTCATCATGATAAACTCCCTCTCCTTGGAACCACTCGTCCATTTTTCCGCGAAAGTCGGACATAAATTTGGCGGGTTTTGAGAGGAAAACCAAAGAAATGTTTTCTGATAGCAGATCGGACTTAGCCGCAACCAACAGACCACTATTTTCTAGACTTTTGGGAGGGGAGGGGATAGAGAGATAATTTTAGAGAGAGAGTGAAGAATGGGTTGTGGTGTGAAGAAATGAGGGGGGCTATTTATACTATTCAGACCGCACCCTCCAGGAGCGGTCTTGTAATTTTGCACTCAATGAAACCACATTGGGAGGGTGAGGTTTCCGTTTCTCGAGGCGCTGAACGAAGCAGGCTGGTGCGGTCTTCGATCCATGGCGCGGATCGCTGACATGTGTGCGGTCCACCGTTGGATCGCCGCCTCATCCAAAGCTCTCCAAGGCCGCAGGCGAGGAAACACAAACCGCACCATCTGGGTGCGGTTCGCTGGCTGACGTGGAATGGACTGCACCTCCAAGGTGCGGTATATAAAAGGTGCGTTTTCAAAGCAATGTTGCTATTTTTGTAAATTTTATGGACTGGGTGCTATTTTTGTAAAAAAAAAATTAAAAGGTGCTATAATTTTTTTTCATTCCATCAATACTTATATGCTACTTCTTAACCCTAATTTCTTCTAAGAATTCAACATTTTAGGGTAAATGACACATTTGGTCACTGATATTACTAAATAGTGTCATATTTAGTCACTAGAAAAATTTAATATCAATTTTGGTCACTCGAATTACTGAAACAGGTCACATTTGGTCACTCTTCTGTAGCCTCTGTCCAACTCCGGTCACTCGAATTATTGAAAAATGTCACATTTAGTCACTCGGATTACTGAAACATGTCACATTTAGTCACTCTCCCAAAAGTTTCCGTCCAACTACATTAATGGAGTTGGACGGAAACTGACGGGAGAGTGACTAAATTTGACCAGTTTCGGTAATTCGAGTGACCAAAATTGATATTAATTTTTTCTAGTGACTAAACATGACACAATTTAATAATCTTAGTGACCAAATGTGTCATTTACCCCAACATTTTATCATATTTCTTATACTTTTTGTGGCTAGTTGTATGATATATAATGTTTGTTCAATGGTTTAGCTCTAAAAATTATACATTCAACTTAAGTATATTAGTTTTTAAGGTGAATTCAATTAGGATGCGAGGTGGGGATTGCTCACTATTATCTAACGATGTAGAGGGTTTTTGTCCGGATGATGAGGGTTTTAGTTTAAGAATTGGGGAAAAAAATGTACACACCAGTTGGTATAAATGAATTCCATAAGTTTTGAATAATTTGTTTTGAAATAAAATATTTTCGTTTTTTATATTAAAAAGAATTCATTTTCAAATCTAAATTTTGAATTCTACGGAATTGGAACTAGTTATAGCAATTCCGAGGAATTGAAATAGAATTTTCAAATGAATTCCACAAGTATTTACTAATTATAATAGAATGACATGATTATCCTCTTTCATTAACTAAATTACTTATACATATGACATACCAAACACAGGAATTCATTTGACAATGAATTCTACATGACACTTCATTTTATTTCTAAAGATTTGAATATAACATACCAAACATAAAATTTCATTTGACAATGAATTTTACACGATAATTCATTTTATAATTCATTTTATAATAAAATGAATTCTCAATTCATTTTCATCTCATTTTGTCCATATCAGACCGGTTTTAGCGACACTTTTTACTAACTTTTTTTTTTTTTTTTACAACTGAACGAACGACACCGTTGCTTCTCGGCTTGAAAACCGAATACACCAGCTTCTGAAACTGCAAGCAAGTTCGAAGGGAAGCTGTCTGCGCGCTCTGTTCAATTCAATGGCGGCGGCGCCATTTTCTTCGTCTGCTCCTTCTCCTACTTCTTCTTCAAGACTTCCCAATGTTTCGTCTTCATCTTCACCCTCCCTACTCTCACTTTCGAGAGATTTCCACAAAACTCGGCTGCAGGCCCAATTTAAATCGTCCCCGAGAAGAAATTTCTGTGTCAGCGCATCCTCCCTCCCTTCCAGCGATTCTGGTACACCCTTTTCTCCCATCCATGTTTAATTCCCTAGCTCTAAAATGTTGAAATTTATGAAATTTTTCTCGTTTTCTCTATGGGGTATTAACTGTTTACTTCCGGTTCCAATGATCCTCTTGCCTTCCATTCGAAGTCGTCACTCTGCTCGATTACGGAGCTGGCAATGTCCGTAGTGTCAGAAACGCCATTCGCCATCTCGGTTTTCAGATTAAAGATGTGAGCTTTTCAACATTTATCTGTGTTTTCTGTTTGTCCGTCGCAATGCAATGTATACCCTCTCTTTGCTCAATGTAAAACAATTGGCTTGCTCTCATAGTGAGGAAACTAACTGAGAACTGAAAACAAAACTGCAGGTGCAAACTCCAGCCGACATTCTGAATGCAGGCCGGCTCATCTTCCCCGGTGTGGGGGCATTTGCACCAGCCATGGATGTGCTTAATAAGACTGGGTGTGTGCTTTCAAACTCCTATCAATGCATTTGTTTCTACGAAAATCTTATGGTGACCTTTGCATTGCGGTAGGCAGTGTTCGGGAGTACAGAACTTGAATTAACTGAATTCTAAGTTGGGGATTAAATTTAATAAGGGAGGTTGAGGATTTGCTTCTAACATTTTGATTAATATCTGCAGAATGGCTGAAGCTCTATGTGCGTACATTGAGAAGGACCGCCCATTTCTAGGAATCTGCCTTGGCCTTCAGTTACTCTTCGAGTCCAGCACTGAGAATGGTCCAGGTCAGATGGAAACTCCAACTATTTGATTAAATAAGATTCTTTTGGAGCGCATGTCTGCAACAGGAACTGGTGTGGTCTATTTTACCATTTTGGTCGTCCATGGAACCTTCAAACTTTGCTCATTAACACTGAGGTAGTTGTTTTGCAACCTCTTTTGTTATGGCTTGTCCAGTGCCAAGCTATGGTGATTCTGTGAATAGATGTTCTAGGGAGGGGCTGTATTTCTGTGAAATAAATTTTTGAAAGAAAAATTAATGGTAGATAAATCTAGTATACATGCTGGATGGAAATGAGACCATGTATGGATCAATGATGATGTAGTTGAGCATATGCTTATTTCCTTTAGTCTAAGCTTTTTACTGTTGCTGGCTGCCTACATGCTGATACAGTGACTGGTCTCGGGTTAATCCCTGGTGTGGTTGGGAAGTTTGATGCCTCAAATGGGTTCAGAGTGCCCCACATTGGTTGGGATGCTTTGCAAATTGCTGAAGACTCCGAGATTCTGGATGAAGTTGGCAACCGCCATGTGTATTTTGTTCACTCTTACCGGGCCATGCCAGTACGTTCCTATTACTTTATTTTGTAGATATCGTTGGAGTGCCTTCTGTTTCTCCTGTATCATATATCTTTCGTTGCACCTCATGTTGGGACTTAAAAACTGTTCCTTATGCTTTGGCAGTCGGAGGAGAATAAAGAATGGATTTCCTCAACTTGTGATTATGGTGATACGTTTATTGCATCCGTCAGAAAGGGAAATGTGCACGCGGTTCAGTTCCATCCAGAGAAGAGCGGAGGTAACTAGTTCGTCTCGTCTTTGTTCATTCTCTTGTGAGTCCTGAAGCTTCCAGACTTTGGCCATATCTTTCTGGTTTTTTTTTTTTGTTTTTTTTTTGCAAATTATCGAAGATAATGTATCATGACTTGCTACTTACAATAGTGGATGGATAAAAAACTGCAGATGTTGGTCTTTCAGTATTGAGAAGGTTCTTACTTCCGAAATCAATTCCGGCAAAGGTAGGTTTTGACCTCTGAAATTCACCAATGCATAACGAGCCATTTTAAATATCCATCTAATTAAATGCGAACTTTGTCTGAAGACAGAATCCAACTGAAGGGAGGGCATCAAAACTTGCAAAAAGGGTAATAACTCCTGAAACGGGCTTCAGTTAGTTGTTTTTTACACACTACTGACTGTGGAGCTGAATTGGAGGCATTAAAATATTCATATTTTCCCTTGTTTCTTTTTAATGTGTCAAGTGTTTTATTGTTTTCGGAAACCTCCTGTCGCTGTGGTTCAGGTAATTGCTTGTCTTGACGTGAGGGCAAATGACAATGGAGACCTGGTTGTGACCAAAGGAGACCAGTATGATGTTCGAGAGAATACAGAAGAGAATGAGGTAAGAGCAGGGGATTGTTTTATGAGTTCAAGAATTATATGTGTTGGAACTCTTACTTGAACTGGTTTAGAACAAACATCAATGCTGTGTGGCTCGCCAAGAGTTCCCTTTCTGCATCCTATAATTCCTTTGGGAAGCACTTTAGGTCCTGTTATGTTTTGTCTTGGATTGAAGTCTTGATGCCTCAAGAAGCTGTTTACTATGACACAGACATGGTTCTCTTTCATTTACTTCTCATGTCAATCTATGCTGTATAGGTGAGAAACCTGGGCAAGCCAGTAGACCTTGCTGGACAGTACTACCTAGATGGGGCCGATGAGGTAGTAGTTGTTATCATTTCAGAATATATTAATCATGATCCAATATTGAACTCAATTCACTTCTAATACATATGCATGTTCAAACTCAGGTTAGTTTTTTGAACATCACTGGCTTCCGTGACTTCCCTTTAGGCGATTTGCCGATGCTTCAGGTTGGCTTTTCACCTTCCTTCTTTGTGCAAAGGAAGGGCTCTTTTTCTTCTCCTGCTCTGAAGCGCGTCCACAGCTCTCTAAGTTACATTTGCTTGATGCATTTTTAGGTCTTGAGGTACACTTCCGAAAATGTTTTTGTACCATTGACTGTTGGAGGTGGTATTAGAGATTTTACAGATTCAAATGGCAGGTACATTCCCTAATTGTACTTGATAGACTTGGATGCGCACTACTGTCTTCTAGGATCATCAATCTTTAAGCTATATCCTTTACGCTTTTCTCTTTTTCTTTTTTAGGTACTACTCTAGCTTGGAAGTTGCTTCAGAATATTTCAGGTCTGGAGCTGATAAGATTTCCATTGGAAGTGATGCTGTTTATGCTGCTGAGGAATATTTGAGAACTAAAGTAGGTGATATCTACAATGATTTATGCCAGCAGACGGTTTTCATGCATGCGTCAATGTGCTTATTTTTGTGCATTTGACAGATTCTTTGAACCAACTGTAGGTAAAGACTGGAAAGAGCAGCATTGAACAGATATCGAGAGTTTATGGAAATCAGGTAACATCTTCCCTAGTTTGGTTTTGTGGTAACTTGATTCTTTTCAAAACCATTTCTTGTATAAAATGTGAAAAGGAATTGAAATGGAAGTTGTCCCGCATGAAAAGAACAGAGATGCTTAGCTGTCTATTTGGAATAAGCATCATCTGCCATAGTTTGAGAATATTTCAGCCACTAGTAGGATGCCTCCTCGAAGACGAAAATAGATTGTGGTTTTGCCGGCTTAATGTCAGTATGGATAGAAAACTTGAATATTCATTCTCTTCACATGACTTGAGCTGTTTGTTGCTACAGGCTGTGGTTGTTAGCATTGATCCTCGAAGAGTGTACCTTAGTAGTCCTAACGATTTGGAGTTCAAGGCAATAAAGTTATCAAACCCAGGTAAAAAGAAAACTACTAAGCGATCTTTGTACCTGAATAATCTTTGTAAAAGCATTAATAAAAAGATAAAAGTCTTTGTTTAAGTGCGTTATACTGATGAGGTTGTAAAATAATGGTTTTAGGTCCAAATGGAGAGGAATATGCCTGGTATCAGTGCACGGTAACATCCCTTATTTTCCCTAGCCCGTCATAGAATTGATTGGTTTAAGCCTATGTGATTTTTCATGCACTCTTTTCGTATTGGCTTTTAAAGGTTAGTGGTGGTCGAGAAGGCCGGCCAATTGGAGCTAATGAACTTGCCAAAGCAGTTGAAGAGCTGGGCGCAGGGGAAATACTTCTGAATTGCATCGATTGCGATGGTTAGATTCCCCATTGCCAAAATCCGTTGTCATTTGCCTACAAATTAAAACCAGAGTATTCCTCTCTCCCGATTTTGGCATATAATGTTCTCCCCACTTCCCATACAGGTCAAGGAAAAGGCTTCGACATAGATCTGATAAAGTTGATATCTGATGCGGTTAGTATTCCTGTGATCGCCAGTAGTGGTGCAGGTGCTGCTGAACACTTCTCAGAGGTATTCAAGAAAACCAGTGCATCTGCTGCACTGGCTGCTGGTATCTTCCACAGGAAAGAGGTATGCCCCTCAAAACAGTCCGTCCGTTGGGAAAACTTCCTTTCCTAGTAGATGTGTGATCTGTTGTTATGTTATGCATTACGCTGAGACCTCTTTTTCCAGGTGCCCATAGGGTCTGTGAAAGAACACTTGTGGAAAGATGGCATTGAGGTCAGGATCTGATGTTCGAGGACTGCTTTCGCCGTTGGAGATTTTTCAATGCTCTCCATACCAGTTCGCAGGCTGCTGGAGGCAGTTGCTTCTGTGGCAAGCATTGTTTCTGAACTTTTAGCATAACTTCGGAAAAAGACTATCACTCCGAGATGGGTATAGCTATTGGACATGACTGCAGAGTAGTTTGCCATCGTGTTTAAGGAATGACATAGTTTCGTTTTCGCAAAGTAAAATGGATCAAGGGAACTGTTTGCTGCGTAATGCCACTTGATACTTGAATGATGATTAGTTGAATTAAAAGGAGTTGCTCATAGTATAAAGTTATTAAGAGAATTGAGAGGAAGAGTAATTGTAATCGCTCAACGGGTTTAGTTGTTTTAAATCGCATTTGCGTGGAGGAAGGTCCGGACAAGTCCATTCCAACTATGCAATGAACGTGCTAAATTTTGCTCATTGAATATCAAGGGAAGAGAATTACAAGCAAATTAGTGCTTAGAAGCCAGTACCAAATACCAATCATCCCAGAGATGGCGCTAAATCAGTAGCCATCTCGCTAGACATCGGGACGAAATCGATGTGCAGGGTTATCGCTGTAGCACCAAACTAAGACAATCATTCAGAGAAACAGGTACCTTCAACAAACCACACCACCATACATGCCACAGCTGCATCATATTGCTCCAGGGAACCACCCTACCAGAATGATAGAGCACCGTGACATCGAAAAACTGAAGTTCTTTTCAGTTACTGGGTCACTACAAGGAATTTGACAATCCTGGATTGAAAACCTTGAGGACAGGCAATCCAACAAACCGGTTAGGCGTCTGACCAGCAACATATGATGGAAGTAGAACCATAGGGAACATCTAAGTCTCAGTGACGGGCAAAAAGCTGAAAACGTGTTCTACTAAAACAGGGGGGTCACTAAGACGAACAGTACGACCTAACCTGCAATTGAAAGTTCAGAGAAAACGAGACTATCCAACTACAAATTTGACATTTGTGCAGCAGCGCTCAACACCTAGATTGCAAATTTTTAAAAACCATTTATGTATCGAGTCTTGGCGTACACAATGAGTGACAAATTACTAAAATCGTGCTCAATCAGCAGCCATGACCTGAGAATCTTTGTTCTATCCCATAGTCAACAGTAACACCTTATCAGCAAAATATCAGAACAGCAAAAATGCTCACTTGCAAATGTTTACCAACTTGCGGCTTCAACGTAGGGAACAAAGGACCTAGCGGAGTTAAATATCCATCGTATAAGCATAAGCCAACAGGAAAAAATATTGAATGACTACAAACCTGACTGTTCTTTGATCAAAGACCAAGTCATAGCAAAAGCCGCTACTGTACTGGGAAAAAACTCAATTTTTATATGGGCCAACCAACAGAACCCTACAAAACTTTGCGCAGGTCTCAAGGAAGTGCTGTTTATTCTTTCTTGTCAAACGAAACCCATACATTATAGGGCATGGAAGAAGAGAATTCACCAGTTCTTTAACACCTCCTCTCTCTCTAGCTTTAGTCCTCCTTAGACGTCAAGAAGCAGCCTGCGAGGATCCTCCACCACATCCTTGATGCGGCGCAAGAAGAACACAGCCTCTCTCCCGTCAATCAGCCTATGGTCATAGGTGAGAGCAACGTACATCATCGGCCTTGGGAGAACATTGCCTCCAACAACCATTGGGCGGCTCACAATCGAGTGCATCCCCAATATTGCAGACTGCCAAATCAAAGAGCAAACATGAGAACATCGACCACAAAAGGGATGAAGTTAGTTAGCTGAGTATATGAATATGAAATCTTCACAACAAAATATCATCTGATTTTTCCACTTTTCCAAGTTCAAAGACGGAACCTGAGGAGGGTTGATGATGGGAGTACTCAAAAGGCTTCCATAAACACCACCATTCGATATGGTAAATGAACCTCCTGCCATCTCATCAATTGAAATGGTTCCATCATTTGCTTTCTTTGCAAGGGTATTAATCTCCTTCTCAATATCAGCAAAATTCATCCTGTCGGCATTGCGAATTACTGGCACAACAAGACCCTGGTAGAACCCCAAGCAAAAAAATAACATCAACAGCCAGTGACAGGGATCTGTGAACAAATAGAGCTTTCACAAGTAGATTAAAGGCTATAAAATGTTTCTTGCGTAATTATAAATTAGCAAGAACCTCTGATATAGATCATCAACCAGCAACAGATAACCCTTCTAATGAGACCTAAGTGCACTTCTCTACGTAAATTACAAATTACAAAGAAATCTAGCCAGCATGCATAGAGTACATTAGAAGGTGAAAGATTTGACATAGCATAAATAAACCTACGATCACTATGTCTGGCCATGTGAGAGAAGCAAGTTTTTCACAAGGATCATATTTCTCAAACATTTACTTCTCGGCTCTCCCAATACCAGCTTATAACGCAGGCGTCCACTATAATGAAGAAAGAATGTATAAACTCTGCAGCGCCCCATTATGAAGAAAGTTTTTAAGTGCTCCAGGCTGGAGCAATATCAAGAAGCATCACCCTATGAAGAATCTAAAACACTGTAAAGTATACAGAACAACAGTTAGTCAATTAAGAAGATGAAGACATACCTTTGGAGTCCCAACAGCTATACTAATGTCTACGTAATCCCTATATATGATATCATCCCCATCGATGACTGCATTTACAACAGGCTGATGCTGGAGTGCGGAGACTGCAGCCTGAAATATTCCAGAAACGATAGAAGTCGTAAGAAAGTGGAACATATTGGGGTAATATCTGTTTGAAGAAATTATCAAATTCTTGCCTTGATGAACCCAGACATAAGCCCCAACTTCACACCATGCTTTTCATAAAAAGCATCCTTGTACTCGGAGCGAAGCTTCATCAAATTAGTCCTACAATAAGAAATCCAAGTTTAACAGGAATTCCAGTTGAAAAGTGAAAACAGGGATGGATGCATGGAGTCAATGCTGAAGTGTCTGTGGAAAGTGTTGAATAGAGAGCTTGATCTTTATGTCGAAGGAAAACGAGATAAAATCTTCCTGGATATTTGGAAGTTGAGGGATATACCCTCACATTACCCTACAGTAGGAGGAAGGTCATACAAAGCCATCGCTTGATTTTGACTTTGAACAGGGTAGGAAGGTGGGGAAGCTAGTGTGCACGCATGCAGGATACGAAAAGCAAGATAAAAATTAAACAACCATGCACCATAAAATAGAACAAGCATTCGGTCCTACATTCACGCTTAAACAAGACACTATCTGACACACTTTCGTTACAATCTTAAGTCAAGGATCTCTCTACTGCCCAAGAGATGCAGCTAGACTAACCAAGAATGAAAATCAGACAGCTACAGTCAAAAAATTTATTGATTCAGTAAACTAAACCGACTCACATATCAACTTCATTGAATGTTGTCAGCAAGGCAAAAGTATTTTGCGAGTCCTTCAATCGGGTCGCAACTCTTTTGCGAAGCCTAGTCATTGGAACCTGAATACATAGAAGACAAAGAAAAATGTCACTAGCGTCAAATACTTGCACTTCTGGTCATCTCCAGGAAAACTAAATGCAAAATGAACCAAGGCAAACAACTTACACGTCTTTCTCTGTCCTTGGGGGGAAGCTGAGGTTCTGAAGCAGTTTGTTTAGGAGTTGATGCAGCTGCAGTTGATTTCTTGGGCTTCTCTGCAGCAACCTCAGGTTTAGGTGTCTGCTTTACCTCTTCTTTCTTTTCAGATGGCTTTGGAGCAGCTTTCTCAGGTATTTTTTCAGATGGAGCAACATGAGCCGCTTCACCAGACTTTGAAATGATAGCAACCTTGGTTCCTGGCTCCACGGTATCTCCTTCTTTCGCAACAAACTATATTACAGGAAACAAACATTAATTCCATAATCTGGTAATCCAACTGAATGTTCCATTATTGACAACTGGAAAATACAAAGATGTAATACCTCTTTTATCACACCTGCTTCCGGACTAGCAACATCAATTGTCACCTGCACAAGCATATATGCTATGAGCATTCCAATGCAAAATTTCAGTTCCTATCAGACAGAACAAAGAAACTAAGAACAAACTAGAGCACAATACCTTATCTGTCTCGATTTGTGCAATGGGTTCATCAACTTCCACCCTATCACCAGGTTCTGCAAACAACAAGTAATCAGGAACAAGTCTCACATGCAATGAACTTACAAACGAGACATATAAGTTTAAGACTAAGAAAAACATACTCTTCAAGAATGTAGCGAGAGTGCCATCAGTAATAGATTCACCCATGAAAGGTACAACAGCCTCAACCAAATCCGCTGAAGAAAATAATCAATAAGAGAATGTCAGAAGAATTCAGGTGAACCATAAATTTCTTAAACATTGAGAAAGCAGAAAGATAAAGATATAACTTCAGCATCTACTTCAAAACTTAAAAAAGTTTTGTTCTGGCTATCCAAAGTCGACAGCACTAATGCGCAGTCACCTCAACAAGAAACAGACATTGCACAATTCAGGGCAATACTGTGTTCCCATCAGTTTACCATATACGACACTATAATGAAGGACATTACTGGCTCAACATGACATTAACGAATGCATAACCAGATGGCACAAAAGAATCAGAAAGGGAGGAGTCAAGTTCAAACCACTATCAGACGAAAAGCCCTTGCTCCAAATTTGCTTAGTGCCCATTAGGTCTATGGTTGCAAAAACATCCCTGCATTCAAGAACTCAACAATTCAGTAATTAACTAAATTAGACTAAACATAAACTCAAGAATATAAATCACGATCAGCATCTAGCTCCCATTGTCTATATCATTTACCTAGCAAATCTCATTGTACTGAGGCAGCATAACCTATTGACATCTAAATAATCAAGGAGATCGATCCACTTCATATGGATTTCCTATCCAGATATTTAAGCACTTATTATAGAACGAGCAATGCATTGGTTTTCTTTTCTTACACATGTATAAGTAATTTATTTGAAATAGTAGCACTGGAGCTAACAATAGATACACAGAGCCACAGGGTATAAGGGTTTTTGCTTTCGAACAGCATGACACAGAACAAGTTCCCAAAGTTAAATGTTATCATGATCTGTCCACAACTCAACGCATTCAGAATTTATTATCATGACACAGCACTAAATACCAAAGTTGACAGTGTCTCTAACCTTTTGGGCGTCAAACTAACTGTAGAACCTGTAACAGTAAGAAAATTTTACATTCAGCATCCATCAAAGAACCATCAGCCAAGAGAAAACTTGAGAAAATATTACCTTGCAAAACAAGGCGACTATAATTCCGGACATGTCCAATGCCTCTTGGAGCAAGCAAAACCTGTTAACATGGTTTCATATCAGAACCTTTCATACTGCCTTTCCTTTTCCAAAGCAAAGATATGGATTCATTCAGAACTAGGGAGAAGCAAGAGACCCAATCACATGATTCAATAATCACTAAATCCCGACCCCCGTTCCCTAACATGGCATTCAATTACTCGACATCAACAAGAAAAATGTTCATTCCTTGAACGGATATAGGCAACAAAGATTATCTAACTTATAAGTCTCCAAGAATTTAGAAAAGAACAAAATTGTACAGAACCAACTAGTACCTCTGCCTCAGCGACAGAAGCGGCTCTAGGCGTAGATGCTGCAGCTCGAACGTTCTGCAAAGACTGCTTCAATATCTGACGACAACAACAAAAAAACGAAATTTCCAAGATTCACAAAATATCGATTGAACTCAAAGTACCAGAAGAACGTCACATATTATACAAAGGGACCCATATAGAATGAATAATAAGAAGATGTCGAATGTCCTAACCGAAGAAGATGCAGCACCAGAAGAGACTCTCCTCTTGAGAACGCCCAACATCATAGCTTCGATCTCTGCTTCAACAATCAGAAGAAACGAACAGACTCTTCAAACAAAATTCTCACCAAGCAGAATCCATCATAACGCATAAAGCCAACAGAACCAAAAAGGTTTTCAGACGCAAAACGCACGCAACGCATAATCTTCAACATAAAAGGGATCGCACGAATGATTCGGAAAATGCAGAGGGAGCACATACCTGTTAGGAGCCGATGGACGGCGGGTCTTTGACCGGAGGGAATCGAGAGGAATACGGAAAGGCTTGATACCGAACGGCAAGTAGGGTTTCCCTTTTGGGGGCACAGAGAGAGACGAGGAGAGGAGAAAATGGAAAGGGAGACGGTGGGGGAAAGGTCAGAGCCGCGAAGCCTTGATTCTGAGCATGTTCCATCCCTGTGTAGACACTTCATAGGCCTTGCGAGTTGGATACGTGGCATTCTCTCATTCGTTGAACTATTATATTGTTTTAAGACCATAATTCATGGTTGACCAATTTTATTTTTCGCCCTTCCATAGTTATATTATTGTTGGGTCAAGATTTTTTTTTTTTTTTCGCAAAGTCAGTTGTTATAAAATCAGACATATAGAGAAAATAAAAAAAGCGCGGGAGTCGACCAATAGTCGAACTCCCGATGAGAGGGTCTTTTATGCCACATGATGGGCAGTCCTATTGAGACAACAAAGAACAAAACAGAAAGAAACCCAACTACAGAGAGAAGCCGAGCCCTGAGTATCCTGCAAGATAGTTCCATCCTGATCATGAGCCAAGTCACCTGTCTGAGGAAGTCTCTCCGATAACGGGAGCTCTTCTGCGTGCCCCTACAAAAAAAAAAAACACAAGCGTCCCCACTGTAGGATAACTAAGCTCCACCAAATGGACTTAAACAAGCCATTAAGACTTAGTAGGATACACCGAATCCAAAACTATGTCAAATTAATTTTTTTTAAGAATAGTTAAAGAAATGCTATAAAAAAAGGACGAAATTGACAAATAAAATGAATAAAAGGGAGGGTAAGTATCAAAAGAAAACAAATAAAAATTACTAATAAATAATGAAGGAAAAGTATAGCGGTTAATTAAAAAAATAAAGAAAATAAAAAATGACTAAATTGCAATGAAGTAAAAAAAAGAAACTGAAGAGTCTGTTTGAGTTACTTACCTGGAGCAGTTACGTCATTCCAAAAGGTGTGAAATTTTAATTAATTAAAAACACAGTTACCATTTACTTGCAGCAGATCTCACTGGAAACGTCTGTTCAGTTACCCCAGGTAACCGTCTGTCTTCTCACCTTTCTCCTCTCTGTCTCTATCCTTCGTCTCCACCTCCGGCCGTCATCATCCGGTCACAGAAGTCGTCATCATCCGGCTGTCATCACACAGATCTCATCTCTCACAATGACCACAAAATCAGTCCCTCCTTCCAAGCGACCTAGTCCCGGGGCTGAAGATCCCAATCTCCTAATTCAGTTCACTAGTCACAGACCCGGCCACTTAGCCAGATTCAGTTCACAATCACGTATATATCAATAGCAATTTTTATTTGAACTACGCATTAGCATAAGAAATTCTTAATTCATCAAGTACTCTAAACAATCGAATTTACTGGTGGAATAAGAAAATCCCAATTATTAAATTCGTGAACAATTTAAAAGGATCAACATCATACTGTTTTTCGATATTTTAATGACTAATAGAATAAAATTGTTACAAAAATGAAATAATTTATCTGCATCATTAATTGTCTCTTCCTTCTGGGTAATTAGCATAAAAGGTCACAAACCTATACACTTTGTACAAAACGGTCACAAACCTTTCATTTTGCACGTTTCAATAACATATGTTTAGACTAATAACAAAACGGTAATTCCGTCCATCTCCATCCAAAAAACTGTTAGTTATGTCCAGTCAACACGCCACGTCACTTCAGATATTAATAAAAAATTAATGACCAAACCAATTGAACCGAAAACTGTAATTCTATAAAACCCATCCGAAATCTTGGAGGTAGAAACACTGCCGCTTTCCTCTGCGGCTGTACAGAGCGATTCAGCTACTAGAATCGCCGCCAGCCCATAAAAATTCCCCACCGCCAAACGCACCGATCACCTCCGCTGCTTGCATCACCGGACTAAACCAAACACCCGCCATCGTTTGCCTCCTCTTTGCCTGGCATGCTCGCCCGAGGAGAGGTTCGCATATATTGTGTAGGCTATAAAATGCATCATCTATCCAACCCATGAGAACTTCCTCGCTGACCCACATGAAATCGAGTTCGCAATCTCTATCTGACAATCAACAACTCCCATGGCAGCAGTAGCAGATTACTCTGTCGTCTTTCGACCAGATAATGAAGCTTCTCGATGGAAGAAAATCGTCATATTCCTCGACTACGATGGCACCCTTTCCCCATTTTCGAAAGACCTTGATCGTGCTTTCATGTCCAAAAAGCTTCGTCATTTCAACTCCCAAGAAGAACAAAATTGGAAAGACTAAAAACTTTGCTCTGTTTTTTCTTCCCTTTATTTCTTTTTTTTTTTTTGGGTAAAAGGATAGACGCATTGCGCCTAAGTTACATTAGAAATAGATCGTTCGTGGGAAACTCCCATTACATCATGACGGATCCATTGAACAAGATTCACGTCGTACACATTGAAGAGATGTGTACCAAAATCATAATCATGAGCCTTGCACGCCAAGTAATCGGCTGCAAAATTGGCCTCTCTATACACATGGGAAATTCGAACATCCCATTGCCGATTCAAAATGTGGTTGAATTGTTTAGCAATGTTGTCGTGCCGGTGATCATCTTCAAACCTGTTGTTGATGATAGTAACAGCCGTTGTTGAATCAACATTTAGTTGAATCTTCCGAAACCCTTCTTTCCAAGCGATTTTGAGTCCTTCCAATGCTCCCCTTAGCTCCGCTGCCGTGATGGAACATGAGCCAAAGTTGCAGACGTAGGCACCGAGGCACCTTCCCAGATGGTCACGAAACAAGCCTCCAGCAGCAGCTTCATTTCCAGGATGAAGAACAGACCCGTCAGATTGAAGTTGAATCCATCCCTCGTCAGGTGGCTTCCAACTAACCAGATCATCCTGCTTCTTCCCCTTGAATAGAGTACTTGTTTTATGCAAATTGCTGTGAGCTTGACCAACAATGTTGAACCAAGCATTTATCTTGGCATGGAGGCCATCTCTGTTGAAAGTTTTCCCTTCCATGACCTCCTCGTTCCTTTGTTTCCAAAGTTGCCAGCAGATGATGCCAAACTCTGTAGCAGTGTCTTCATTCTTAATGTTCCGCTCAAACCAAGCATCAAAAGGCATGTTCCTGCTTCTATCAATTTCCCTGTTCTGAAACTTATCCCAAGTTGATTTTGCTTTGCTGCATTTCCTCAGGATGTGCTCAATAGTCTCTTCTTCAGTTTTGCAGTGATTACATTTGTCGTTGATGGTGAGCTTTCTTCTAGACCTCTCCTTGTTAGTAAGAAGTCGATCATGTGTGACTAGCCACAGGAAGAACTTGATCCTGTTAGGTCCCCTCCACTTCCAAAGCTCCTTCCATCTTCCATTGACCTCCATCTCTTCAGCATCCGCAGCAAGTGTGTATGCTGATTTGAGTCTGAATCTGCCGTCCTTCTCAAGTCCCCAGAACGTGGTATCTTCTCCTAATTCAGGGTCAGGAGCCTCCATTCCTGCAATGGCATTCAAAATATCATTAGGGAGGTACTGTCTTAGCCTCTCCCAGTCCCACTCACCTTCTTCTGTAGTCCAATCAGCAACAGCAGAGCCCTTTTCCTCCTCCGAAATATCAGTTATAGTGTGGTCAGCAAGGATGGTTTCATTGTCGAGCCAGGGCTGCATCCAGAAGAGGGTAGACTTCCCATCCCTGATACTCCAGCAGGTAGCATGTTGCATGAGTTGCATTCCTTTCACAATCGCCTTCCACAAGTTTGAGTGGTTGGTTTTCTTCATGGCAAGAATAACCCCATTCTTCTGTTTGAAGTATTTGCCCTGCAAGACTTGAACCCACAAGTCAGAACCGTTGTTAAGCATGTGCCATCCAAGTTTGATTATAAATGCCATGTTCATATTTCTAGTTGACTTAAGGCCAAGACCTCCCTGCTCTTTAGGCTTACAGATTTTATCCCAGGAGATCAGATGAATCTTTCTTTTCCCTTCCCTAGACCCCCAAACAAAGTCCCTGACTTTCCTATCAATGGCATCACAAATTGAGGCAGGAAGAAAGGTGGTCTGCATAGCATAAGTAGGGAGGGCATTCAACACAGAGACAGCCAGAGTCACTCTCCCAGCAAGAGAGAGAGTTCTAGCTTTCCAACTTGAGAGCTTCTGATCAATCCTATCAAGTATGTACTTATAGGTGGACTTGGTAATGCGCCCGTGAATCACAGGGACCCCCTTTCTTTCTTTAGATGAGGACGTATGTTAAAAAGCTGGCTAGGTGTTTCCCATTGCCATAATGAGAGGAATATGCAGGGACAAGGTACATTAATGTCGTGCAACTGATGCAGCTGAGATTTCTAGCTATGCGGACCTCTCCTCGGGCAAGCAGGCCAGGCGAAGTGGAGACAGACGGGGAAGGCAATCGGTGGCGGGCGTTTGCTTCAGGCGAGCGATGCGATAATGGGAGTCAGATCGACGGCGGGGAATTTCTATGGGCTGGCCGAGATTCTAGTAGCTGAATTGCTCTGTACAGCCGCAGAGGAAAGCGACAGTGTTTTTGCCTCCCAAGATTTCGGGTGGGTTGTATAGAATTAGGGTTTTCGGTTCAATTGGTTTGATTATTAATTTTTTTAGTAATATCTTAAGTGACGTGGCGTGTTGACTGGACATAACTAACGGTTTTTTTGGATGGAGATGGACGGAATTACCGTTTTGTTATTAGTCTAAACATATGTTATTGAAACGTGCAAAATGAAAGGTTTGTGACCGTTTTGTACAAAGTGTATAGGTTTGTGACCTTTTATGCTAATTACCCTTTCCTTCTTTTCTTGCCTTTCAATAATCTCTTTCTTTTTTTCTCTGCATTTCATTAAACAATAAAATTAAATAATAAAATATTTATAAATACAAAGCATCTTTTTTCATTAGAGTAGAATTTACCTTGTCCAAGGTATGAAAAATGTACATGCTATTTTCTTTCTTCCCGTCACCGATCTTTATATCTTTCTCATGATGAACAATGTCTTTCTTCTTCTCAACAACAGCCTCATCTCTAGTACCAGATCCATTATCTCCATCATTACCAGTGTCATTCTTATTATCATGCATCATCATTATTAATGTAGATAATTGACGTTTATAAGTACAACATATGGTGGCATTTTATGAAATCATAAGTGATTAGTATATATCAGAGATAAAATTGAAATATTATCCAAACCGTCAAAGTTTTGGCTACACAAGTGTATTTTGCCTTTAAAATATTAGCCAAACCTTTGAGAATATGAAATATTATCCAATCCTTAAGTCTCCGTTAATACTTTTGTTAGATAATGATGAACTGGCATATTTTAGGTAAGATGGAAGGAATATGGTGATATGACACTCAAAAAGAATAATTTTTATTTTTTAATTTATAATTTTAACCAAACCTTTCACGGATTCTAAAATATTAGAGAAAGTGGAATGTGAATACGAAATATTATACAAACCTTCCACGGATTCTTCCTTTGTCGTCGTTCCTTCGTTCTTCCTGGGGTCTACTCCGACGCAGAGGCCCATTTCCCGTCACCAACGGCTGCTTCTTTCCACTACTTAATAAGTTGGCCAACAACATATGTGGAGTTAAAAACTTAAAAAGTGAATGGTTTGGCTCTATATGCATAAGTTTGAATTAAATTTGAACCGAGAGTAGTAATTCGAACCTAAAAGAAATTTCAATTGGTTACATTTCTTGCCAATCTCATCTTGTTTGATGAAATTAAACTTGTAAGTGGACGTTATTGATTGGAATATCCTTGTTGCCAGAATGACCTTGAAGTTCTTGATGGTGTAGACTCTCTAGTCATGAAACAGAGGTTGAAAATCCTTGATTTTCCCTTTGGGCATTTGGACCCAAATATCATTACCCTCAAGAAGTAAAATAAGTATATTGATAAAACTGTGAGATTTTAATCAGAGTTTTGATTTGTGTGGTTGTAGTTAGTATACTTTTGAGTCAATAACTATACTACCGGTACGAAGAATAACATATGTTGCGATTGATTGTCATCCACTTTCTCGAAACTCGACATTGAATAATCCAATCTCACTTTTGAGTTGTCGGTCGGATATCAATTGAGATTTTATATTGAATAACCTTTCATTAAAACATCACTTAAACAATCAATTTTGTGGATCTTAGAGTAACTCTCAAAAGACTTACTAAGCACAAAGTTAATGTATGAATTGCGTAATTAAATAAAAAAACAGAGATAACTTCTTTCTAGAATAAGAATTTCAGCATATATCATCATGGCTATTGCATTCGTAGTAAAACTTGGAAATTAGATTTAGAACGAAAATTGAAGAATTGTAGGACTTCAATGCAATTTAATTGTTCCACAACCATGAATATAAGTGAACTGAAAATAATAATTTGTACAACCAATACATATTAACATGTTAGAAGTAGTACAATGGAAATTTGAATTGAGCAGTAACGATTAAGAAAAGAAACTAAGTTTAGCGAAACATCAACAAAATTTTAAATGGGATATGCGGGTGAATGTAAGAGAGTAGCAACAATGGCAGCAATAATGGAAGAAAGAATACTTGCAATCATTCTTAAGATAATAAATATCAAAGATAAATAATATTTTTTTAGCCAAACTGTTCACGAATTTAAAATATTAGCCAAACCTTTGAGAATATGAAATATTACCCAATCGTTAAGTCTCCGTTAATACTTTCGTTAGATAATGATGAGCTGGCATATTTTAGGTGAGATGGAAGGAATATGGTGACATGACACTGAAAAAGAACAATTTTTTATTTTTTAATTTATAATTTTAACCAAGCCTTTCACGGATTCTAAAATATTAGAGAAAGTGGAATGAGAATACGAAATATTAGACAAACCTTTCAAGGATTCTTCCTTTGTTGTCGTTCCTTTCCTTCGTTCTTCCTGAGGTCTACTCTGACGCAGAGGCCCATTTCCCGTTACCAACAGCTGCTTCTCTCTTTACTCAATAGTAACGACGGCCGAATAGTCTCTGCCGAGAAGATGGAAGGCAATGACTGTTGATGCAAATGGTGGTTAGGTTTGGCTAATATTTCGCATTCTCAAAGTTTTGGCTAATATTTTATAATCCGCGAAAGGTTTGGCTGAAAAATAATATTTTCTCTTATAAATTTTTTTGAAAATATTTTTTAATTCACATGACGTTGATGTGTCAAACACGTGAAATGACGATTAGTTTACGTGTATTCTGTTAAGGCTAACGTTAACAGAATGGCTATAATTGTATAGCATTATAAAAGGTTTGACCAATATTTTTTATTTTCTAAGATTTACTTACCCAATAATCAATATATATGGAATATTACTTCTATCGGAGAAGGCAATTATGGGGGACCGGTTACTATGACAACACACCTTGTGTTGTTATAGTGACAACACTAGTCTTCCACCAATAGGAAGGTAGGAATGTGATGACTTTTTATTAGTTGAGTTGACCTAGTGTAAAATCAAAACAGGGGTATAATTGTCATTATGAAAATATGTTTAAATAATAATTAAAAAATTAAAAAAAATATTTTTGTATTTTCTGCCCAAAAATTTAGTCGTCAGAAATTGATTGCCGGTCACCGGAATATGCTTTTTGTCGCCGGAATATGCTATTTGTCGCCGGAATATGCTTATCGGCGTCGGAATATGTTTACCGGCGTCAGAATCTTGTCATCCGGGCCGGAATATGCCTATCAGCGTCGGAATCTGCTCACTGACGGTCACCGGAGTTCAGTCAACGGTCAACGATCATCGGATGTTATGGTTAGCATTGTGAGATTTATGGTTTGGTTTCAAAAACTTTGTGGTTTGCAGTGTGAGGTTTCTGGTTTGTTTTAATATATTTGTGGTCTGCATTAGGACGTTTATGGTTGTGGTTTGATTTACTGTGTTTGTGGTTTGCATTAGGAGGTTTCTGGTGTGCTTCGCAAATGTTGTGGTTTGCTTTGTGAGGTTTGTGGTTTGTTTTAGGAGATTTATGGTATGCATTCAGAGGTTTCTGGTTTGCATTAAGAAATTTCTGGTGTGCTTTCGAAACTTTTGTGGTTTGCTTTGCGAGGTTTCTGGTTTGTTTTAGGAGATTTGTTGTATGCACTAGGAGGTTTCTGGTTTGCTTTACCGTGTTTGTGGTTTGTATTAGGGGGTTTCTGGTGTGCTTTAGAAATATTTCTGGTTTGTTTTACCGTGTTTCTGGTATGTTTTAGACAATTTATGGTCCGCATTAGGAGATTTCTGGTATGCTTTCGAAATAGTTGTGTTATGCTTTGTGTGGTTTGTTATTCTATCCAACGTTCTTACTAGATGAATGGAATTAGTAAAAATAATTAGTAATGTGTATACTTAACAGGTTCGTATACATAAATAATTACATAGTTCTCTCTTAATTAATTATGTTTTCACACCTAATTAATTCTTGTCTCGCTAATTCGTTTTAAAATAACTAGCTTTCTTCCCGGCCAATTGCCGGGTTACTTTTATGTTAGTCTAAATTAATATGATGTTCAAACTATTTGTGATTTGTTAATATTTTAGGTTAATACAATTATTTTTAGTTATAAATCTGTGTTTTTAATATGAAAATCACTTTAAATTCATCAAATTATGTACCCAATATGATGTGAAAACTATTTGTGATTTGTTAATATTTTAAATTAATACAATTATTTTTAATTATAAATCTGTGTTTTTAGTACGAAACTCACTTTAAATTCATCAAATTATACCCAATATGATGTGAAAAGATAAAAAAAACTGCAGGGTAAGTATCTAATGCATATGGTAAGACTAATATTGTCGTAAACTTGTTATGAACATCATCAATTATTTATAGGAATTGTGATTAACATAGTCAAATAGAGAAAAGAGGTCTTAGAACTAAGGAGCGACTCATCATTGCATCCATTCGGTTTATATCTTGTCTAAGTATCAATTCGGTCTATTTTTTAATATCTATAATTATAATATTAATATAATTAAGAATCGGACCACATCACATTTGATCAGGTACGATATGATCCAAACGTCGAACTTCCCCGATGCGGTACAATACAGACCAAACAATTACACATCCCTACATATATGCACTTTTTAAAAATATTTATTATATGTATGTCAAAAGTTTTTATTTTACGTGCATTTGAGATATATAATATATATGAATTAGAAAATTTATGTATATATTTACTAATATAAGAACATATTAAACGTCAGTGTAAAAAGAATTGGTTGGAAAATGGTTTACTAAGTAACTATTTGAAAAGGTTAACGTCAACAAATGATTAAAATGTTCCCTTTTTTATGAAAAGCCGCCAAGAAAATTCAAACCTAAAAAATCTGTAAATGAAAGAAGAAAAAAAAACAAACGAAAAAAGTTTCCGATTTTTATGCCTAATTAAAAGAAAATTAGAGATAAAACCGCAGCCAGAAAACCCGGAAAATAATACAAAAAGGAAAAAGAAAATTTTATTTCCGAAAATTGTGGGGAGAACTACAAAGCTTACGTGGATGGGGTCTTTTTCTTAAACGGATTTAATATATTTTATAGATAGATAGATAGATAGACCAGTTCGCAAGGGAGAATGGAATCAGCTGCAGGGAAATCGATGATGAAGGGAGAGGTGTCCTTTCGAGTGAACTTCTGCACTTCTGCACGATCAGTTTCAGCCTGCAGCTCCACATTGTTCCCTGCCACAGACCCATCAAAATGGCAAACTCGCCTCCAGCTTCCTTACTAATCTTCGCATAGCTCTGCGTAAAACCTTTCCACCTGTTTTCATCCACCAGTATCTCGTACAAATCCTTCGCCCTGCAACTGAACTTCTCAGTCAAGCTTATCGACTTGAACCCTTTCTTCGTCAACCATCAGCACTAGCAGGTGACCATAAAAGTGAATTTTTGTGAAGTGTGTATATAAGTAGTTAATTGTAATTCTGGGTTTAGGGGACATTAATTGATAATAAGTAAGTAAATAAGCGGAGGTCCAGCTATATATATAGCAGCAACAAGCTAGAACCTGCCGGCGGCGGCGAGGAACTGCATCTGTTTGAGGAGAGGGGTGAGTGTTTACATGAGCTTCTCGCCTTACTTCTTCTCAATCACCGGTTTCCCTTGGCCAGCATCGCCTCTTTCAATCTCCTCCCGATCGGGCTGTCGTCGCTCACCGTAACCCTAATTTCGGGGTCCTCATCCATGTTCTCGTCGGAGATGTAAGGGAGATCCACAGATCCGTCGACTTTGAGCAAGGACTTACGGTCGGCGTCTTTTGCCTCGCCTTCCCATGAAAGAGCGACGCTGAGCTCGTTTCCGGGGATGATTTTCCCCTTGTGGATGTTGACGTAGGCCTCGCCCTCGACCTTCTCGATGTTCCTGGTGCGGATGAAGAGGTTTCCTTCGCCATCGAGGAGGGTGAGGTTCGCGAGGAGCTTGGAGAGGAGGTTGCGGGACCACTCGAGGCAGTCGCTCTCCGACCAGGACCTCCCTCGGCACTCGTATCCAGGGATTGATCGGCGCCAGAACATAGAAGGATTACATGTTTTGTGACGCCGGCGGTGGAAGAAAGAAGGAACAGCGGGAGATGGGGAGGAACGGAAGAAATTGGATACGAGGAGCAGGATTAGGGTTTGACTGTAATTTAACAGGTTTAAATTGCTAAAAAATATTTATTGATTTAGCATCTTGTATAAAATTTTTTGATTTGATCACTGATATGATAGAGTTTTACAAACCATGCATATATGTGACATATATTTAGTAATGCTCAAAAAAGAACATTATGTCATGTAACCACAAAAATTTAGGCTAGAGACATCCAATTAGTAATGGCAACAGAGTTAGATTGCGCTCATTGGGTAATTTGATATTCATATTCACCCCATGATAGGTTGCCTTCAAATCAAGGACTTTGGTTCAAGACATAGTTCGAGGTTAGTCGATCAATTAGAATATGCATTTCAACAAGAAGTCAATTATTCATTAAAAACTCAATAACTAAAGATCATATAATTAATAAGTCAAATTGATTTTGGCAATTGAGCCTCTTACATAATGATAACTATATTGGAGTCGAAAGTCTTGTCACATACCTTGGCTTCATTCAACTTCAATGTCATTAAAATGTTTCTTTTTTTCTTTTATTACACAAATTCCTAGTCGATTCTTATTGTATCATGGGCTTTTTTTAAAACTCAGAATATGGTCTTATGTGACACTTATGGCGATGAAGCACAAGTTTTTTATCGATCAAATACATTTTTTTAGGGTTAATACCCTAGTTTGGCATGAAGTTTAGCGTGAGTGACAGTTTTGGCCACATTTTTCAAATAAGATATTTACGGCCTACTTTTGAAATTATTAGACAAATTTGGCCGGAAACTTGTGTTGACCGTTAATATTAACGGTCAAACACTTATTCCGTCAATTACTATGCTGAGGTGGCAGTGATGTGGCTTTCATGTAATTTTTATTTCAATTCTTTTTTCTAGTTCTTTTTAGTTCTTAAAAACTTGAAAAATAAAAAATTGAAATAAGAAACTCATGCTCAACCGCAATAAAAATCACAATCCCTAATCTTTTTCTATCGTCGTCACCGACGACGACCACCGCCACTCCCACTCCTCTTCCTCCTGACCCTTCTTCCACCCGGAACTCGTTGCCGTCTTAAACCGCCAACCCAGAATGGTGTGAGGGAGAAGACGAACAGCCACCAGTTCGTTCGGCTGAGGGAGAAGAAGAACAAAACCTGAATCGGGCCCGAATCCGTCGATCTTAACGACGACGGAGTGGAATCTGAGGGGACGGCGACCGCGGTGGAGGAACAAGGAAAAAGAAGAAAAGAGAGCCAATTTGGGGGCCGCCCGTTGAAAATCCCTCGTCGTCGAAGCGCATGTCGAGGACGAAGAAGAGGAAAAGGAACCAGTCCCAGTCAAAAGCCCTGCCCCCCCGCCCCCACAGATCTTCTTCCGCAGCCGCTCGTTCCACCCCGACGGCGTCTTACCCTTGAACGCGCTGGCGTGGAAGTACACCAAGACCGGCAGCTTCCTCTTCTCTTTGTCTTGTCTGGGAAGGTAGAGGCGGGTCTCGGGGGAAGAAGGGGTTGAATCAGTGGGAATGAGGCGGCTGGAGGAAGAGATGAGGGTAGGACCGTAGGAGGTTGGGGGGTTTTGGGGTTATTTTTATTTTTTTATTAATTGAATTAGAAAATATTTTATTTAATGACATGGCACCATGTATAAGCCACGTCAGTAGTTCTTTGATGATTCACTAACGGAATAAGTGTTTGACCGTTAATATTAACGGTCAACACAAGTTTCAGGCCAAATTTGTTCAATAATTTCAAAAGTAGGTCGTAAATGTCTTATTTGAAAATTGGGGCCAAAACTGTCACTCACGCTAAACTTCATGCCAAACTAGGGTATTAACCCTTTTTTATTTTCTTTTGGTAGAACAAGTCTATCTTCTCAAGTATGCACTTCACAAATAACTGCTTGTGGATTTGTTCATATCGATCAACCTTCAATAGGAGAACCATAGCCATAAGGGTTAGTCAATGCCACAACTCCTACTTGATCTAATACACAAGGTAGAATACACGGTTACACTATTAACACATTTCATGAAGCCAAACATGGACCAACAAGAATCAATCAATCAATAAGTGTTTGTTGATTTGTTCATATCGATCAACCTTCAATAGGAGAACCATAGCCATAAGGGTTAGTCAATGCCACAACTCCTACTTGATCTAATACACAAGGTAGAATACACGGTTACACTATTAACACATTTCATGAAGCCAAACATGGACCAACAAGAATCAATCAATCAATAAAGTTGTTGATGCCAAGCTTAGAGCAGCCTGCTTCAATATGTTTAGGTCCGGAGAGCGCTGATTTCCCAAAGCCTTTAACCACCTCCACCTCCGTGCGAATACCTGGAAAAAAAGGTCCCACCGGGGGGTCCTGGTTGGAACCTCCTCCGACGCTCAAATTAGTAATCTGAATGGAATAAAATAAATACGATGACGTTAGACCTGGTTCGGTCCCACGGTCGTAATTGAGCATCGTCGGCTATTTAATGCCGCCCGATGGAGACTATCCACGATTTCATGGCTTAGTCAGCCAAATTGAGGGTGTGTTGAGTGTTTAGAGATTTAACACGTTTTGGGAGATCGAGAGGAGAGAGAAAACGTTTTTAGAAAGAGAAAGTAAAGAGAGTAGGTATGTGTGAGTTATGTTGTGTGAAGTAGTCGTAAGCGACTTATGTGGTGGTGTGTGTGTGTGACTTGTTGTTATGAGAAAGGGGGAGGGGTGCTCCCTATTTATAGGGGAAAATCGTAGTTGAATTCCTCGACTTACGTTAACATTCACCAACATTTCTCAATAATTATGATATGTGAGAATATCCAAGTGTGTATGCGAAAGTATGAGAAAGTGTAAATATATAAGGGAAAATAAATGATTATGGGTAATGTAAACGAGAAACATTTACGTATATGTATGAATATGTACGTAAGTAAATGTATATGTAAGAAAATGAAAGAAAGAGGAAGAATGAAGGAGAAAGTATAGGAATGTGTATGAAAGTATAGGAATGTGTAGGAATGTGTATGAAAGTGTAGGAAAGTGTATGAAAGTAAAGGAAAGTGAAGGAAAATAAGATAAACAAATAATAATCATATAGTAATATTAATCATATTCTTATGTAATATAATAATATATAATATATTAATTATTTAATAATAATTGGAGTAAAATACTTTATTTCAACGGGCAGGTGAATACCGGGTTCATAAATTGCCCCCCTTGCTGGTAGAAAATCACGAGAAATGACTGTGATTTTGGCAGGAGTTCATGAAAAATGATCGTGACTTTTCTATCGGCAAGAAGATAACAGAACATGTTTTAAAGCAATAGCTTTGGCTGTTCATATCCTCGCCTTAATGTAGATCACGAGCATAGGACTGACGGGATATATGTCTTTTTTGGCATATACTAGTCTAAAAAAATTGTGGCATGAATATTTTTGCACATGTGAAATTATTTTGGCACAACCTAGTGCATAATTTACCCAGTAATGAAGAGAGTGTAGAAATGATTACCAAATGAGGCGTAAATTTTGGAGTTTTACGTGACATATCCTGGTCATCATGGAGAGATAGTTTGACTGTATTTGGTCCCACCACTTTGCGCATCTTGTAAGGACCTTCCTACTGGGGAGTAAAATTTCCATGACTTTGAATTTTTTTGAAGTTTCTCCTCAGAACCCATTCTCCTTCCCGGATGGGTCGATTTCTCACTTTGACGTTGAAATAACGCGCAATCCTCTCTTTGGAAGCGACAAGTAGCATAAGTGCGTATTCTCGACGCTCCTCTATGAGATGTAGATCATGAGTGAGCTCGATTTGATTTTCATCGGGGTGGAATGGTTGGATTCTGTAAGAGGAGAGCTCCATTTCAATTGGCAGCATAACATCAGTGCCATATGTCAGTGAGTATGGCATCTCCCCAGTGGAAGTTTTGTAAGTTGTTCGTCCAAAGCACATGTGATAGCTCCTCGACCCATTGGCCCTTGGCTTGGCCTAATTCTTGAATTGTGTCCCCTAATCGATGATGCGGTTAGATTGCTTGATAGACCGTTATTTACACATGTTTTTACCCCCGTTCTTACACCGTTTGAGGTGTTGATTCTCGTGTTTTAGGCCGATTTCACGCTAGGTTGTGCTTGTTTGTGATATTTCAGGTCCTAGTACGTGAATGGAGGCTTGGGAGCGAGTCTGGGGTTTATTGGAAGAAGATCGGACGAATGGCGAGGTTTCAAGGAAGCCGCACGGGCAGACTGGGGCATCACACGGCCGTGCAAGTGAGCAAGGTGGCCGTGTGATTTCCACCGAGAGCAAACACGGGCACAAGTAGCTTTCACAGGGCCGTGCAAGTGAGCAATGTGGCCGTGTGATTTTTGCCGAGGCCACACACGGGCAACCCATGAAATCCACACGGCCGTGCAACCCTGGCCGTGTGAGATGGCTGAAGACCGAACTAATCCATACGCTGCGTTTCGACTCGCACGGGCAAAGTGGTGAGCCACACGGCCGTGTGGCCTACCCGTGTGAGTCGGGAAATTCTGGTTTTTGAGCCAATTTCGAGCCAAAAGTGGGAGAATCGGATTTTCAGAGCAAAAACAGAGCCCTAGAGAGAGAAAGTACGAAGAACACATCCTAGAAGCTATCTTGGAGCTGGGTTTCAACGAATCGAGCTTGCAGATCGTCATAGGAGTGGAAATCATCATCCCGGAGCAGATTTTCCTCATCATTATGAGTATGACTACTCCGATTACTGTTTTCTCTTCTCTCTCTATGGAGTAGAACCCTTCTCTCACTTGGGTATGAAGAACCCTAGTTCCTTGTGTTAGGGATTTGATTGTAATAACTTGGGATGATATTACTGTTTGATTTTAATCGAATGATGCATGTTTATTGAATTGATTGGAGTCTGATCAGCTTTTCTCGATTTCTGCTTCAACC